CTTTCCCGCTTGCCTTTTATTGTTCCAAAACAAATAGATCATTTTGTTGATATATAACATATATATTTATTATTAACACATACACACACACACATATCAGTTTGTTGGAATTATACATAATACAAATTGCTCTTTTCTGAACTTACGTTCCAAGTTCCAAATCCCAGAATGGGCATTGCTTGCCCTGTTGGCAAAAGAACACTTGAATTTGATGTCATGTCTGATGTATCTTAAAGAAACACCAAAGCAAAACTGTGCTTTTAATGTGCTACCTCTCCTGTTACTTGCTACTTTGAATATCTACCACCACTATTTCTTTTCCTTTCACTATATTATCTTATCTATATGTATAATCAGTACACACAGCTTGTGTATGTTTCATGAGTAAGCATATTCAATGGATAAATATATTCAATTTTTATCAGTTCAGCTGATATAAATATAGGAAGTAAAGTAAAAGAAAAAATATAAGAAGTAAAGTAAATATATGTTGCTTTCCATTTACATCAAAACTTAGATAATTCTCACTTGCATTCTCTCTCACTCGCATGTATGCTACGTGCGAGCGAGAGAGAACGCAAGTGAGAATTATCTGAGTTTTAATGTAAATGGAAAGCGACTATTAGAAATTTATCGTTCTAAATAAATATTTGCTCCTCTTGAGTCTCGATATCAGGAACCGAATCAGAATCGATAATTGAGATATTATTTCAGTCTAAATCCTTGAGATAATAAATATGAATAATGTAACTGTCCATACAGTAAAAAATGTGTCTTGCAAATTATCATCAATTTGTAATTGTTTCATATATTTATATGTGCGCAGAGCATATATCTTATTAATCTTGCTTTATAATTCAATTTAATTGTCTTAAATTGATTAAAAATGTATTCAAGCACTTCCAAGAATATTATAATAAACAATATAAAATATTCTAATATAATATAAATCTATTTTTTTTATATCTTAAACAATTAATGTTATTTATTCGTTATTTATTTCAGATAATATTTGAAAAAATCTTTGTCTAAATGTACATTTGTATAAATTGTGGAGCTGAATGCAAAGAGCTTTTTAGAAGATATTGTCCAAGCGTTCTTAAAATCTTAAAATGTGTAAGTCAAATGTTATGAATTCATATGCCAACATATATACTCAATTTTGCATTATAACATATTTTAGGAAAAGTGTGGCTTGTTAGCTGACAAATATATCGAATATGATCCTGTTATAGTTTTTGTAGATCTTATTCTGATAGAAAAACCAGCTTACAGGCATCTCTTGTACAACAGCAATTTTAAATCGTATTGGAAATTAGTTATAATATTATGGCTAGCTGAATCATTCAGAGCTTGGTTTTCCTGCGAGATAAGCAAAACAGAATTAAATGCATCAGATTTGGTCTTTAACAATGTGTCACAAGATAATTGTAATTTTTACAGTGTGCTGCTACATACAGCATTTGCTTTTGCAGCATTTATTTGTATAGTTATTCTAGTAACCGAATTAAAATGGTTTATCATTGGTAAAAAACCATATAAATACAGTGTAAGAGATTTAAGTTGCGCTTTAATAGTTGGAGGTTGTGGAAAATTATTGGGATTTTTGGGAATAGTGTGGAGGCATATAGCCTCGAGTCCATATTACCTTCTTATCGAAGGTTACACTGTTTTATGTCTCTTCACTGCATACTCAGGTATGAAGCTGTTATGTAAGATACATGTAAAAAATGAAATTTATATAAGACATTCACAGTTTTTATTGCAATTTTAAAATCGCACATTTTGTTTATAATTTAATATCTCTTTGATAAATCGTTTAAATATAATACATATAATATATATTTCGGTTATTTATTGCAGTTGTCTGCAAGAGTGGAAAGGGAGGCTCTTTGATTGGATTAATTGCTGGATTTTTGCTATATAGTTACATATGTACTTCCATTTCTAAATTGCACCTAAATATTCCCAATATCACATTAACATGACATAAAGTGTCTGATATACAACCATACAATTTTTGATGTTTAAGCATCTTTGACAGGAAGAACACTCCAACCTAAAACTAATCTATCAAAACCGCAAGAAAATAAATTACACACATTATTATCTTCCAACCAAGCAACAGAACACACCATTCTACGATGACCCTGCAAACAAAATTATGTTATTTAGTTTTAATATATTTATAGTATCGAGAATGAAGGAAGAAATTCAATCAATCATGCTATGTAATATTTCTATGTATAATAATTATATGTAACATATTAAAAAAAAATGATTGAATATATTTATAATCTATTCTCATTATATATTACGCAATAATGCTTGTATAAAAGTTTAAAATCACCTATAATAACTGCATAACTTTTTGCAATTTCAGCATTTTAGGTTTTTTTAGTTGACATTAATATATTTCAACAAAACACAAAGTTATTAATTTTACGAATTGGTTAGAAAGATAAATTTTTATATAAATATAAAAATATGCCTAATATATACACACACACACACACACATATATATATATATATATACACATAT